CCACTCTTGTGCTTATTAAGTAAAATAAGGGTTATTTGAACACATGCACTGTGATACCGACAATGGGTCTGATAACTGAGCCAGCTACTAAGTGACCAACAGGCAGGATATGCTGGATGAAGGGATGACTCACGTCCCGGGTAGGATGGAACAGGCCAGCATGAGATTTCATCATGCTACTCAGAATGGTGCACAATTTAAAATTTATGAATTGTTTATTTCTGGAATTTTCCATTTAATATTTTTGCACCGAGGTTGACCGTGGGTAACTGAAACCATGGAAAGTGAAATCTCAGATAAGGAGGGACTACTGTAGTTAAATTAGGACTTAGAAAATGGCAGAGGAAACAGGGGACAGTGATGGTGGAGAGGGAAAGAAATGTCAAGCCCCAGAAGAAAGACCTAGCAAAACACAGGAGTTCGGAGTTCAATTTTAGATGTATTGAATTTAATGGTGCCTAACGGGCATTCAGGCCAGCCAGGAGACTTCCACATGCAGGAGGCCCTGAGGTCGTCTCCCAGACTAAATAATAGCGAATAATACCCTTGCCTGCAGGAAAGTGGATACCATTCTGAATCTGACTTCTGTAAGTGACTTTATAAATTACTCTGGGCTCTGTGTATGTGGGTGGCTTCAGATCATCAGTAAGGGCGCATGATCAACCTTGATCACCAGTGTCTGTCCTCCCCAAGTGGTCTGGTACAGTGGGGTGGCCTGGGCTGGGGAGGGATTTGTTTTCTTTACAGCAGGCCGCAGCTAGACTGGTCCTCCCTTAGGGGACCTACTCTGCCCTGTGGAGCCAGATGGAAGTGGGCGTGTGGTGGCATGTCCCTCTTGGAGGCTCCAAGGACAGAAGAAGCCTTCTGCCTCAATTCCCTCAGTTCCTCTTAGGTAAGGTAGTGTAGTGACAAGTCTGTGGTGATAAAAATAAGCAAAATGAGAATTAAGTTTGCATTTTAAAAAAACCTGATAAGATGTTCCAAATAATTTCTAGATGGTGAAAATACAAAACGAGACCCTAATAGCTCAAAAATCCTGTTTGGTTGCCCACTCTACGAGAAGAGGTGGGCTTTTTTTTTTTTTTACAGATGGGAGCCTTTTATTATTATACTCTGTTTAGCACATCGAAGATAACATGTAACTGATTTTGTCAAGACTGGCCACTCCAGGCCTACATGGAGGTGGGGAGAGAAGAAAGAGTTAGAAGCAGAGAGAGATGCCCATAGAACTCTGTCTTGCCTGGGATGGGAGGAAGCACTGGAACAGGCAGAAGCCCAAGAATATGAGCCTTGATGAGCCAAAGAAGACTGAGAGAAACCAAACTGCCGAGGGCAAAAGAGGACCGCCGACCAGGAGCCAGGCTCCATCACCACGGAGGCGCCATCTGAAACCATCCTGTTATGACCACTCCCTCCCGCACCTGTACGGAGTGGAAGCAGGGACCTTACACAGCTCGGGACTCCCCAGACAGGGCCGAAGCACCTCTACGGGACCGGCCGCTCGGCATAATATCCATCAGGCAGAGAGGAGGGAAGGAAACATCTCTACAGGTTCTTAAATGCTCCCCACTCCTCCTCGCCCCACCTCATACACGGTGCTCTTAAATATTAACATTTAGGAAGAAACAGACAAAGGTCTACAAGCAAGCAAAATAGGTAAGTGCATCCAGAGAGGCAAGTGTGAGGCCCGGGACTGGTTCTCAAGCTGAGATGGGACGGAATGTCTCAGGGAGACTGTTAATGAACGCTAGGTAGCATGGCAGTGGGTGGGGTGGAGCACGGACCCAAAATCCAGACAAGAGCCTTTGGTGTGAGGAGAAGATTTCCTAGTCATTAAAGTCAGCGGCAGGGACTACTCCTCTGTGACAGCTGGAAATATATCCCCCTCCCCCCTCCCAACAAATCCTCGGCTACTCGCCTTTATGCCCTTTACGATGTGTTTCTATAGCTGACAGCAGTGATCTCTTTTCCTGGAACTCTAAGAGCAGGGCACAGAGGAACCAAAACTTACCTAATTATCGGCAGGGCCTATTGTCCTAATACGGTTACCATTCTAGGGAAAAGAAAAGCCTGATTCCTTCCCAGGAAGTGTGTGAGGGCAAAGGCTCACACTGAGAAAAGAAATAAGAAAAGCTCACTAGTCACATGGATGACGGGAAGCCAGACGCCCGAGTTAAAATCTCTTGACGGAACCTTAAAAGCTACATGAGATCGGGAAAGGATGCTCAAGACTTGGGAGGACTGTTTCATCCTAAAAAAACCAGCTCTCTAAATAAATAGAAAAAGGGCTGAAAGCGCAGATAACAGTATGTCAGCAAAGGGTTGCTAGGGGGCTGAATTAGAGATGACTTTCTTTGTTTTTCCTCTTTGAGTATCCGTACTTTCTAAATTTTTATAATGACTACCTGGGCTGAGTTTAGGAGCCAACCAGGTGGACGAAAGGGAGTAGGTCCATCTCAGGCAGAGGGGAGACCATGTAAAAGCCCAGAGGCATGAAGCAACACAGGGCAGCATGGATCATGTGCTCTAGTCTGGCTGGAAGGCAGGTGTGAGCAGAGGCGGGGTAGCAGGAGACGGGCCTGCAAAGAAGGCAGTGCCCTGAACACAAGGGCTCCGATGCGCCAGGCGGGGGGATCTGGGAGCCAGGGAAAGTGAGGGCGCTGTATCAACAGACTGCTGTCCACAAGAAAAAAGTTACACGTAATCACTAATCCCTCCCCCATGAATAACTTCATTACCCTGCGGGAACAGCAGATTTAAAAGTACTGTTCTGAAACCTCTAAATGGTTCCTTTTTTTCCCACAAGGAGGGCCTGAGACCTAATCTGATTAACTGAATGGACACAGATGTAATTGGCAGTTTCAGAAAACAATTTACACTTTTTTTTTTTCCAAGCTTTTTCAATGGATGAACATCCGGAGCTCACTTGACTATAAACTGTGTACACAGTTCAGAGAGAAAAGTGAAATTGCTGTGCCCACTCCAAAGCTCACACCCCTTCCTCCAGAAGCAGAGGTCTGCCCACCTCTGCGGCCACATGTGTTATTTACGGGACAAAGCTACTATCCAGCGCCTGACTTGAGAATCTTCCCTTGGCCTTTCCACGGCACATCCAATAAATTCAAAGGATGCCAAGCAAACTGTTCACCCAGAAATACTTGGTTAGAAATATAAAAATATTTATCACTAGTCCTTTAAGAGGACCCCAGTTTTTCATTTTTGTCTTGGTAAGGTGACATTTTATTTCATCCTGTTTCCAGTTTAAAAGGAAATGGCACTGGAGAGACAAGGCAACTTTTCCAAGTTACTGCACTGTCTTCTCTGAAAGGGAGAAAGGAATGTCAAGGAAGGGGGCGGGGAGCTTAAAAAGAGTGGAACACCAGCAAGCAGGGCCTCCTCTCCTTTTCACCTTAAGTCTTTTCTCTCCCTCATTCACAGCTTTAGGTTCTTTGTTTGTTTAACAAACCATTACAATCATACCCAGTTCAATGGGGAGGAATGTGAACCTCTCTAAGTAGCTGTCCTCGCAATCCACATGTGTGGTCCATCCGCAGCCCATCCGCAGGGGCTTCAATGTGCCGTCCTGTGCTCCTGTCGCCCTGGAGGCCAGGCACCTTGCTTACAATAAGCCCCAATTTCCCACTGCCGCATGCTTCCTGCTCCTTCCCAGTAGCCTATAGCGATGCCTCACGTTGTTCTTCCTTCCCGGCTTGGCTGGCGACTGCCCTGTCCATTTTGCCTGAGCTTGTCCCGCTAAGCTCCAGAGACACACAGGGCCTGGGGTGTTCGCCACCCCCTACCTGTCTTCAGCCCACAGACTCACCACCCAATACTTGGCAGTCACATTCCAGGATCTTATTGGTTGTCACGCACCGTCTTCCAGTGTCAATCATACAGTGACCGGAAGATACAAGGGCAAGACACTCCCACCCCCCACACACGCCCCTAATGAGAACTGCCAGTGCCTTTCTCAGTTCCTAGTAGACATGCTGGCCACGTTGGGATGAATTTCAATTTCTGGCCAAGAAATCATAATATTATTTAGTAAGAATATTCTATTTCAAATGGAGCCAAAAGAACCTTCAGTAAAACAATATTACATTTCAGTTGAACTCATAAAGTCCTCTCATGCTACTTTGTCTACTAATGCCCATCTGACAGCCCTGTGAGATGGGCTAGAAAGGCATCTTTATCCCCATCTAACAGATGAGGAAACTGAGGCCCAGACACCTCAGTCCTTTGCCCACAGGCACTGACTAATAAAAAGATTAAAAGATACTGTACTACACAAAGCCTAATGCACAGTGTTAACTTCTAAGAGTGTTAGCGCCCATTAATGTCATGACTGATGACGACGACGATGGTGACCAGAGGCCAAACCCGGATGTTCTGAGCTAAACCAAGCACTCTCCACTCCCACCTTGCCATCCTCCCCGGCTAAGCTGTCTACACAGCAGCGGACTTCAGCAGTAGCTTTTACCGCAGTATTTCCAAACAAAGCCTTGGAAACTGTAGCTGGACTCCGTAGTGCAACTGGTACGTGACCAGCATCTTCCTTAGGCTTATCAGTCAACATCTTCCACAAATGGGAGGCAACCTTAACACATCTTCTTATGTACACAAGTGAGGAGTGAAGATAGGGCGGCTTTAAAGCTTTTGAACTGACGGCGTTGTCAGCAGAAAATTCCAGAGATCTGCAGGTATTACGGGAGCTGTGTGTGGGGAAGGCAGAGGATATGAGAAGTTGTTAACTGCAGGATCTGATTCCCCGAAACACAGAGGATACTAATTTGCTTTTTAAAAAGAGAAGGTCAAAAGAATTCTGTTCTAAGGTATTTCACAGTTTGAGGGGGAAATGTAGCTCTTCTCTTCCAGAGCCTTTTTGAAGTGCCTTGAACCTCCTGCATGTCCTTGACCTCTTTTACTATGTGTTTACAAGCAATTACTAATAAACATGCTCAGATAGAAGTAATTTTTAAAAGCGATCATTGCTTGCGTACCTACTCGGCAACAGGAAACATCAGCTCGAAGGCAGTCAGCGAGACCTCTCAGAAGTTTGAGGCTTCAAACCTGTAAGAAGAGATCTTGCACACCTTAAGCGAACGAAGCTAGAAAAACACTCCCCCTGCCCCCCACCCCCGCTTACATGGCCACTTGAGCTTGCTTACTTCAAGAGCACAAACACATACACAACTGCTAATGTGTGGAGGAGATTTTCTCCTGCTTTTTAGGCATTTTAATAGATGATAGATCAAGTTTAGATGTTAAAATCCTACAGTATAATACTTCAGTAGACCCACCACCCTTAATTTTAAAATGTCTCAGATACACCATATGGCAAAAGTCTGTAACATTTAGATCATCTGATATATTTAAAAGGTGTGCTGAAGTTCATAATGTTGTAACTTAAAAGGTTTTCAACATCTCAAGTAATCTTGCCCAAGAAGATCTTTAAGTATTTATATTATATCCTTCGTCCTACTTGCAACTGGATTAGAAAAACCCTGATGTTTTCCCCTGCTTTCTGCAAGTAGAAAAAAAAAAAAACAACCATGAAATTGCTTACATAAAATATTCAAAATAGAACTCAGAGGAAATGGCATTTTTTAAAAATCAACAGTATTAGAATACCATAAAACAGGTATGCAAATCTATGTAATAACAGAACCTAAAACAAATTATGAAGTGAAAAAACAGTAGACATTCATTTTCAACAAAAGTCTCAAATAAAAAGCTTCATATCTTCATATAGATTTATCAACCGTGCAGGGTGAAAAGGCTGAAGTCTCCAATTTGCATATACAATTCCACGGTTACCAAACCTGGCTATACGTTAGAATTACCAGGGCAATCTTTTAAAAATACAGATTCCTAGGCCACAGTACAAACTAACACTGACTGACAGCGTCGCTGGGGCCCTGGGAACTTATGTTTTCACCAAGTCTCCAGAAAGGTCTACAGCCAGCTTCGCACCACTGATCCCTGGTGAGCATTTGGAAACGGGTATCTCTGTTCACCAATCAATTATAAAAGTTGGCTTCTTCCAACTAAGACTATTCTAACCAGTCGATCCTCTTAGGGGGGAAGCTTTTCGGGATTCTCTTTACTGGTACAAAGGTAAATCTATTATGTAACAGCCAATTATATCTCACCTAAGCGATTTATTCACTTGGTCGCCTATTTTCTTCTCTTAATTTGCTCAAAAAGGCTATGTCCATTTATTTTGAATAACATAAGTTATTAAACAGGAAAATTAAGGCCATTTTCAGACAACTAAAGTTTTAAAATAATCCACCACAATTTAAGGGAAATACTGGAGGTGAGTAGGTTCTCTGAATCACCCAGAGTATTTGTTTTAAACGTACTCCTTGCTTTGCATATGCATAAACACTTCACAAATTATCCTCATGGTCAAGCTCTCTTCTCAAAATACTCAACCTTTATCATGGTGGTTTAATTGGGTGGTCTCCAAAGGCCTATATTAATTTTTTTTAAGAGCTGTAAAAAACATTAAAGCAAGAGAGTACAATTCTTCTGGATGATTCCTCCTTTGCTCCTACCCATCTCATCAATGGACAATACCAATTTATGAATTTATGAAGAGAGGCAGAGGCTCTCTTCTGCTTCACTAGAAAGGGCGCACATGACATGAAGTACGCAAACCAGGCAGTGGAGTAGCTTAGCTTCATTGTCAAAATATTCAAATTATCACTAAAAGAAAGAGATTCCTTTCTGAATTCAACAATACTCCTTGGCCTCCGAGGGCTCACACAGGAGCTTATTCTTAAGCCGTTCAATGTAAGCAGCACTAGTGAAAGCGGAGAACTCTGGCAGGGAGGAGATCAAGTCCCTCGGCCTTTCCCACCTGCCATCTCAGCCCCAGTTTAATGCTTAAATAGTTAACAATGCAACAGAGAACCTGAAAGCATGCGTGGCCCCAGGGGAAAAATCATGCGCAGTCTACAACAATTTAATAAAGCAGAGCAGAGGCAGTTAGGAAGAATAACACGTCTACATTTGACGGGATACTACTTGCAGACGGTGGTTTTTCAGGTCAGAATTTGGATTTCAGAAATCACAGAGAAAAGGTTTTAATATGTCAATTCTATTATTTTTTTGTAAAGAATACGTTTTTTTTTTATAAAATGACCCAATAACATTAAACATTTCTAGATATACTTGTTTCTGAGCTTCAGAGTAGGAAGAAAAATCACATTTTTCTAGGAACGAGGATGGTGCACGGTAAACAGATCAGTTAGAGGGAATTGTCTTAAATAAAGGGGAGATATTTAGGGGGAAGTGATTTGTTTATTCAGTGATGACAAAAACTAAAGTTTCCTGAATCTAGAGCGTTACGGTTTCTAGAACGCATTTCTGCTGTCACAATCTGTTTTTCTAAGCATTAGCTTCTGAGCCGCTTTGAGAAACGCGTCTTTTTCTCTGTTAATGAACTGGTTTAGCTGCCTGCTGAGCGCTCACTGAAACCCAAATTGAACAAAGGGATTTCCCTCCAGTTTCAGCTCATTCACTTGGAGCTACTCCTGATTTTGCTTAAGTAAATTCTTCAAACTGACTTTTTTATTTCAAATGGTTTGAGTGGGAAAGAACTGGGCGAGCCTTGACACCGGGAGGCCTGCCTCGGCTTCCAGCGAAAGACTCCTCTGGGTTGAGGATGTGCAGGGCCTGTTTTCGAAAAGCCTCCCAGATAAGTTTTTTATTTTCTAAGGACTGTAATTCCAGACGGAAAGGAGCCCACCCGATTTGGCAGATCACAGGCAACTAAGTCTTACTTCGGGGAGCTGGATCACCACGACTGAGATTATACCTCTGAAGTGGAGACCGTAAACAGGACATTCATTATTCATTTCACAGCAATGGAGTCGTTTTGAAGACGACAGGAGCATGTTGTGAAAGGGTCGCTCAGAGTTTGAACAGATCTGTGGGCCTGGCACCTGGCCCTCTACCTTCTCACACAATCCCTGGGGGACTTCAGTCACCACCCAGGGTTTCAACTACTCCTTGGGGTCACAGACCTCCCAAATCTCTATCTTCAATCCTGAACTTCTTTCAAATTTCAGGCGAATCCATCCTGCACCTCTCAGCTTAGATATCGTCAGTGCCCCTGAAGGTCACCTACCCTAAAGCAGGGGCTCCGCACGGCTAACCCGCCAGGCTTCCTCCTCCAGCACCAGCGATTTTAGCCACTGGCACCACTATGTAATAAGAGTTAACGTTTATTGGATGCTCACCAGGTCGTGGCCATTGTTTTAATCACTTTACTTAATGCTCCAAACAACCAACCATATGCGGAGGAAGCATTAACCTCATCTTACTTATGGGGAAACTGAGGCTTAGGAGTGATGCCAATTTGCCCACGGTCACACAGTCAGCAAGCAGCTGAGCCGGGCTTTGCATCCGGAGTGTGGGATTTGAGAGTCCACATTATTAATAGTCAGTCTCTTCACTGTGTTGCTTCCCAGCTGCTCCAAAGTTAGAAACTCTGGAGGCATACGAGATTTTACTCACTGACTAAGCTATACAGATTCTTCGAGCTTATTGTCTCTCAAATCTGTTTCCTTCTCTTCATTTCCATAGTTACCAGTGTTTGGGTGATGTTTTGCCTTCGTTACAGCCTCCAAATCAGTGCAGCAGGACAACTCTGGAATTTTACTTCGTTTGTCCTCCCAACATCCTTTCTAGCTCATTTAAAACAGGTGCAGGCTTTGTAATTCCTTGTATTTTAGCCCAGATGACGGCAGAAGCAGTCTGTCTTTCTTAACATCTAAACCCAGTGAGGAGACTCTGCCCAACTTCAGGGTCGAGAGAAGGAGAGAGCGGTAAGAGGGAGAGAAAAAGACACTGTCCCCTCCACCCCCAGCTCCCGGGGCTGGAAAGGAAAAGGGGCCCTGGCACAGCTCTGTCCCCAAGGCAGGACAGAACCCTCTAGAGGACAGCTGTGGGTGTGCTCAGGGAGGCCAGGCCTGGGGCAAGAGTGGCAGGGCTTCAAGAGACCACTACCCCACTGTCATATACCAAAGACCAGCCCTCACCTACCGGGTGCCAGGGAAGTCTCCAGATTCTAGGACACACACTCCATGGGGGAAAGGGAGACACCTAAAAATGACTGCAATGAAATTTCTCTCTAGGTTGACGGAATGGGGAATACAAAAGTGAGTACTTCCTGCATACTTGACACCGTGGAATGAGATTCAGACCTGTGAGGGGCGCCTGAGTAAGGTGCAAAGAATCACAGACTTGTGTGCATCTGTGCTATAGACTAGCTTCAACTGCTACAATGGGAGCCAGATTATTTTTCAAAAAATGCCACCCCCCCTCCTCTTGTAGAGAGGAGTATGGACTCTGCAAAGGTGCTGGGGACCTGGCAGCTGTCCTGTGCTTTAGTCCCAGGGGCAGGTAGAGAGGAAGGAAGGAAACAAGTGCAGATGTCGAGAGTTTACTCACAAGATTAACGCCTCTGATTCCTATGCAAATACCTAGAAAGGGAGAGACAGAGAAAGTTATCTTTAAGGCCTTTATCTTAAACTCTGAGTTGCTTAAAAACCAAAGGAAAAAAACAGAAGTCTACTAGGAAGAGAAAAGAGAGGCCAGTGCTGCTAGAATCTTGAGGCCCAGGACACCGCCGCTTCTGAGCCTGGACGTGCCCTCCCAGATCAGCTGCCCGGACGGAGTTTCCATCAGTTTGGAAACCAACTGTTTCCAACGGTTCTGGAAACTGTTGGTTTCCAGAAGATGGAAATAAGAGTGTGCTGGAAACTGGGGTGGTGTCGGGGAGGAGAAACGATATAAATGTGACAAATTTGTTGATTCAGAGATGTTGCAGTAACGGTAGGTCCTTGTGACACCAAATGTCTACACGGATTTGGACTTTGGGGTCAGTCATGTCCTCAAAACAAATTCCATTTAAATTCTGTGGCTGAATATCTGAGACTTCGGATGAGGCTTATGAAGGCCCTGATGAAAACCAGAGAGGATTCTAGATAAGCCAAGATGTATCAGCCAGTATGCCGAGATTAGAACTTTTGGAACAGGGAGTTCTGGTTGGAAGAATTTCAGACATACAAGAATCAGCAAATAGGGGACCCCATTTTCCTGCTGCACAAGCACCCACTAAGTCTGCCCGGCATGTGGGGCGCGTCCACAGGGAAGACAGACCCGGGAGAGGAGGAGATATCTGGGGAGCAAGTGCCCCATCACAGAGGCAGGGCGGGCCAAGACAGTGCCCCCTCTCTGCTTTGGTTATTAGGAAAATGAGCATTTGGTATTAAATGGTGCCCAAGAAGAAAACCCCCAGACAGGGAACTTGGAAGTTAGGGTGCGTTGAGCAAGCAGACAGAGGTTCGGAAAACCAGAGTGCAGGGCCACCCTCCCCTCCTAAGGGTCTGGCCTCTGCTGACACTTGCTTCCCTTCTCACACCAGATGGGGGAGCCCAGATGGAAAAGAGGAGGTGGCAGTCAATGAGCACTCACAGGGCTCAGCCCCAACCCGCACCATCCAACAGGGGCAACCACGTGCCGGAGGCTACCTTCCGATCTGTGGTGCCCCAAAACTTAGTGGCAGTGGAGGGTATGCTGGACGATGGGGACCGGCCCACCCTACTGGCCAAGAACTCAATTTTCACGTGGCTTCCTTCAAACTACTACTAGCCTGGCAAGTAAAGAGCTTATCAGTAAAGGGACATTTCTACGCACTGGACACCGAGATCCCTACTGGTTCCTCAGCCTCTCTGTTCTCAGACTGGCTCCCCTTCATCCCTTCATTCTAACAATGCCGCTGTCAGAGTGATTCTTCTAACATGCAAATACGCTCCAGCCACTTGGCTGTTTGGAATTCTTCAATGGTCCCATTAATTTCCGTCAGTTGCAACCAAGAGTCCTGACTGATCCACTGAAAGTTTTTAATCAGAAGAGCGATATGCTAAGGGCTCGCATTATAGAAAGAGACCTCAGACAGCAGGCAGACAGATAATGCTCCTGCATTTATCCATTCTATACATTAAAATCAGTAATTCCATAGGAAAAAACAGAAAACAATTTTTTAAAGCTGTGCACAAAAAAGACTAACAGCAATAACTGAACACCGAAGTTTCTCTGTAAAACTGAGTGTTGACAGGGAGCTCTAAATCTCCCCTGAATCAGAACTAGCAAACGGGAACCATTTTAGGGAAACAACAAAAAATGATGATCACCCTACTGTGGTTCTAATTTGCACGTTGACTCTGTGTGTGTGTGCGTCTGTTTTATGAATCACTTCATTCCTGTGCTCAAACAAAAAGGGAAGAATTACCTTGGTAAATGCCACATAATGGATCAATTAAGTTACTCCCCAAATAAAGTACACTTTGTCATAGTATAAACACGCATAACTCCTAACACTATTTTAAACACATTGATAGATATGTGCTTTATTTATTAATTGTACCCACAATAGTTAACACCCTCCTATATTATGAACCCCCCAATGCCCTTCATCCCCAACAGCCTTCACTTTAACTTTTTGTTTGTTCAGGGAGTCAAGGAAGTAAAAAAAAAAAAAAAAAAAAAATTAATGCTATTTCTTGGATAGTAACTTTCCTTACCTCAAAGTGGTATGATAATGTGTTTTACTCTCCCTTATTCTTTTACTAGAAGCATACTCTACTTAATACTAGGTTGTGTTCCTACAGTTAGTTAAAAAACGTTAACCAAATGATACTATTCTGCTGGAGGAAGTCCAAGAAAGATGGGCTGGTGGAGTGCAAAGAGCAGCGGCTTTGGAGTCACATGGCTCTAGGTCGGGACACTGCTCTGCTACTTGCCAGGTATGTAACCTTAAGCAAGTTCCCTAACTTCTCTTCATGCTTACATCTCTCTACCTGGCAGAGCTGTTGTAAGATTATGCATTACATATGTCCATACGGGGCCACAGTGACTGGGGCAGAGTCTGAAGTTTATGTACAAAGTAGATGTGGCCTGTTTAATAAGTATCAAGAATGATTTTATACACTGGGTAAGTTCACAACTAGGAAATATTCATAACCGGTTTCAGAATACAATACATATAACAGAAAGTATGAATTATTGGTTCACTTCAATAATCTTTCTTTAATTTGGATCATGACACAATTCCATTCTCTAACACATACTTGTAAAAGAAGTTTCTAATTATTTCCTGCCTGCTTCAAAACTTTGTATGTCATGTATTTGAAAGATTTTTAAATTCTTAAGCAGTATAATATTATTAGCTGTGCTTTTAATGGCAATGTCACATTTAACTAGAGGAAACAATTACAAATAGGCCTGGCATGAATTGGTCTTACAGGTATCATGAAGTCACCCAAATGATACACAGAAGTGATTCTGGCACATTTGGATTTTGCTAGAATCTTTCTTTTGAATGTATGAGTGGGGAAGTGGATTAATTTCAATTAGAACCATTTGGAGAACAGGAATTTAAACACACACATCTAATATTTCACTTTGGCCCTTCACCTGGAGCAGCTGTGGACAGCCTTTCTAGAAGTCAGTCCAAGAGCAAAATAAATTTGGAAGTGGTTCATCTAGTTTAGGAGAAAAAAAAACAACCCAAAAAAACTCAAGTGTACGAGGGGATATAAGAAAACTTACAAAGAAGAATAAAAAAATATGGCATATTACACTCAAGGACATTTTGCAAAAAACTATGTGGAGAGAGGCCAAAAGTTATGGTTAAGCAACACTGTTAGCACTAAAGCTGCAAAGTAGGGGGAGGGTTCCTTTGGGGTGAAGAAGGCAATGGGCTTAAACAGAGAACGAATACATGTCACAGGAGAAAAACAACCCAAATGCTGCATATGAAATTTAATGACTAGGTGTCATTATTTTGAAACCGGCGTTTAAAACAAATCATCATCTCTATATGTATGATGGAGAAAAATAAAAAATCAAATCTTCTGATAAATATTGGGGATCCTGTCGACCACGAGTTCCCTCAAATTTAGGGGCAAATTTAGGTTACCTCCACTGGATTTAGTGGCATACTTATTTCATAATTTTAGGAAATTTGGACAGAATATATGCAAATTGAGAATCACCTCACATTATGACTTTAGGAGCATGATTTAGAGACTGCATTGTCATGGATGCAACATACTAAATATGATTCTAAGTGGAGTCTAATACCCCCAATTTTCCCCTAGCATTAGTTTGTTTTTCTTTGAAAACGTCTTTTTAAGTGTCAGGGAGGGAGATCACAAGTTTCTAGGAAACAAGTCATGATAAATAAAAGGCATCTGTATAGTGCCCCTTATTTCTAAAGTTATATGAGTATCAATGACAGTTCTTAGCACGTTCTCTTGATTTTTCTAAAGAGGAAAAAATAGGCTTTCATATTCCCCAGCCGTAATTTTTCCCTCAAGGTCTGCAGTTCCTCAAATGAAAATTCTCGGAGAGCAAGTGTTTTCTGGAACATAACCCCCTCTACCGTGGAGAGCGGGAAGCTTTGGCGTGTGCTCTAACCTAGGAGAATGAGAGCACAGGCTCACAGCTGGCCACAGAGAGCAGCCTGGGCAGAAGTCAGAGGGTGTAGCAGAGACACACTTACCTTTCTAAGTTTGAGGTACAGAGGAGTTTCAGATGTGACATGAAACATCAGATGTGAGAGCAATCCTAGAAGAGGAAAAAAATGTCAAAAGGTTAAAGAAAAAAAAAAAAGGCATTGAGAAAAACCACACCGATACTGTGTTAGGCGACATTTATATACAGAATGTGAGTTCAGGAATGCCAGGATCAAAAACTTCTTTCCGTCAATATGCCATCGTGTTATATTCCAACCTTCCAGAGACACACCTCTAAGTTCTTACAGGATTTTTAGTTTGAGAGAGACAATGTGGTGACGTGGTGACGAGCTGGGGCCATGGTGCCAGAATGCCTACATTCAGATCCAGGTGTCACCTGGAGCCACTCAGAAACCTCACACCACTTGCTGAACAGCTCTCTGCCTCAGCTTCTCGCCTGTAAAATGGAGATGATAACCATACCTATAGCCTAAAAGCCTTTTGAGGATTAAATGAGTTAACGTGAGTGAAGTGCTGAACACTGCACCTGGGAAGCAAGGTGTACTCCTGTATTTGCAATTCTTTTCCAGAGACCCCAATTCACGTGAAAATTTCTCAGAGCCTCAGGAAGAAATTAGATGATAATCAGAACCTTTTGTAAAAGGGTCAACTAAGAACGTTATCCTTTAGGAAAAGGAAGCAAGTACCCAAGCAGGGCTGAGGGTGCACTGGGGAAGAGAGGGAAAAAGATGACAAAGAGCAAGGAAAGACCATTAAAAGGCCAAAACCAAACAAACAGGCAAACAAAAACCAAACCAAAAAAACAAACAAACAAAAAAACCCAAAACCAAAAGGAACCTTTGCTTAACTGCAATTTTTTTTTTCAAAGACAAGCTTATTACTCAGAGGAGAGGCCTGAAGGGCAGAACTTGTTGACAGTAAGCATACCCGTCTTTCTTGTAATTCAACCTAACCCGTAAGGAGGATGTTTCCCTTTCAATGACTAGATCAGCCTGTATTAGGGCTGCTTCATTTGGATGGATGGGAAGCTCTCTAAGAGGGAAGTATCTTTCTGCTAGGAAGTTTGTCTATGGAGATACACACACATAGATACAAAGATCTAATATATGTTGATCCCCAAACGTATTTTGAGGGTCTGACTCTTAAATTACTTGAAATTCTTCTTGTATACGACAACAGTCTTCAGGCCTGAGAAAAGGACTCTTTTATGGAGGATCATGTAGTTGACGTTATCTGGTTCTATAAACACAGCAAGAACACAACTTTTAACTACAGTCACTCCCTGGGGCCTGTATGTAGTTCTATCAATGTAGACAAGATATGCCTCACCGCTTTTAAGCTGAAACATCAAACGGAAAAGTGTCGTTTGATTTCCTACTTCTCCTTCCACCCTCTACCCCTCCCGACTTTGGTATGATGTCACACGAAATTACTTCCAGAAACTGGGAGGATTGAGCAGCCGAGTTATAAAACCTAAGTAAGAGGCTTACAGCTTTCTTATCTACAAGTTAATACTTACAGGGGCGAGAGTCTATCAATGATCAAGGCCATGGTAATTTTCCTGTTTTGTAAGAAATCTAAGATCTCAGCAGAATCACAACCTGCCAAATCGACCACATTTGTATGACCCATACAAGCACCTATCCCTCTGCAAGACTGCTACCACGACTCATAAATTTGGAAACCTGTATTTTAAACTTCATTCCTACTTTTAATCAAGACAGAAAACAGATTGCTTTTAACGTAATCTTTGTGGTAAAAACAAAAATAACACGGAGAATAAAATATTAGCCAGTTTCTGTACTTGGGTGCTTACTTACCTCTCCCCTGCACTCACCTTTTCTAAAGTTTTCCATTATGATTTTAAGATGTTATTTTTCCCAAAGAATGTTGACAACTATTTCCCACTTAAAGCTCTGGTTTAAAAAGAAATCGGGTTTAACTTGAGAGTAACTCAGAAATTGGGCTTGTTCTAGGGTCCTGTGAAATCACAGGAGTTAGTACTCTAGAATCAAAATTTCCCTTACACACTTTTCACTTAGAAGTAAAGGTGCTTGCTTCCTTTGACAAGAGGTTCATAACACACAGTGGTGGTAAAGCTGGTTAAAGAAACTGTCAAAGGTTTTGTTTTGCATTATTTAACATTACGTCATAGAATTAAAACCTGAAAATGGAAGTCTATCCATCTCAATCACTAAATCTGGTCAGGTGAAAGTCTACAAAACTCTAAAAGTTTTTTCATCTTCTTACTGAAAATACCTACACACTGTGCTGAGACTTATTTTTTAAAAATATTAAAGAAGAGAGCTTGGATTTGAAAAGGACAATGCCATACACTTTCTATGCCTCCTGTCCAGAGGCTGACGGACTGCCCAACAAACTTGCCACATTGAAAAACTGTTTAATAATTCTCCATAAAGGAAAGATTTTAAAAAGCTATGGCACCAATCAGGTAACAATAGATCAATCAGGTTTTCCTAAATGTAGTATTTGCAGTTGAAGCCTGGATAAGTAATTACATTCAAAGTAATGTACAGGGAGCTATCAATCCCCATTCATTCAGCACACATTCACTGAGCCAAGAGCTTTGCTGGGTTTGGAGATATAAAAATGAATACGACACAGCTGCTTTACTTCCAGCTAAAAGAATATACCTAAACAAAGAGCTACAGGGCAATGTGTTAAGTGTTATAATAGAGGTGTGCACAAAGGGCTGAGGGCCAAAGGAAAAAGCAATAAATTCTTTCTGGGAAATCAAGCAAGTGAGGGGAGAGAGAAAAGAAGGTATGGTGATGTTTCCTTGTGATAAACTCGACTTTTTCTTGACTGTGTTGTCAAAAGTAAGACAGTAATTTTAGGATTTGTGAACCGTTCTCATCGCAAGTGCTAAATTGGTCTACAAGCCAGTTTCATTGATGTTTGACACAGACTTCCAGTTATAATATCCCAAGAATAAACATTTTAAAACTAAACGTGATTTGTAGGATTTCCACCCAACACACACAATCCAGAACAGCACAAACACCTACGTGAATGAAACAGATACAAAGTTCAGAGATGTTTTGAAACATAAATGAATGAAAGACACATTCTAGAGACTTAGTGATATCATATTAACAATGCCCAAAATAAGTATCAATTTTTTTCTCTTCTTCTTAAAGCAAAAATAAAAGAATTACCTGATTATATCATGGTTAATATTTGTCTTTCTCTACTTCTGTGTTTAAAAAAAAATAAGGAGGGTATTGAATCAACTTCTACTTAACATCATTTATTATGCATATCATATTCCTACTTATAACACAGTTGTGACAGAACCTCCATTGTCCATTACACACTAGCCCCAAACTTGAGTAATTCTAATGTAAGCATGAGAAACCACGTCTCCTTTGGGGTGAATTTCCAAATTCCTCTGTGTTAAACTGAGGTCTCATTTTCCCTGTGCCTGGTTTTCACAAGAAGGTCCATTCCACCCCATGTGCTCCTTTTCAGCTGTCAATAAACAGAGGCAGTGAATTCCCCCACGGCTTCACAAAGCTAGTCAGGCAGAGCCATTCATTCCTTCAGGAAAACAGGGCATTGATTTCAGTGAGTTCCCAGGGAGCAGCTGCAACAAAGAGATCAAAGGCCCACCTCTCTTTCCCTCCACTGCTTTCATTAGGCCAGGCCCAGACAAACAGCGACAGGTTTCCTCGAGACAAGGAGAGGGCCGGCAGACCACCTCATGGTTCAATTCAAATTCATCCGTTTCCTACATTCCAGTGACAGTCCAGAATGCTAACCATGACAGACCAGCACAATCACCCGGCATAATATACTGCTCGCTAGTTCATCCAAGGTCAGAGGGAGAAAACAAGCGCTGAGGGAAGTCCTCCGCTTCTAGGGCCCGCTGAGCCACGACGGCCCCCCGACATTCCATAAATAAACTAGGCCCGCTCACTCTCCCTTTCTTTCTCCACCCTGCAATCCCACAGGCGATGGTCTCACTTAATCTGCAATTTCTTTCGTGTCACCATACCTACACCAATGGGACTCTATCCTCAGCCTAATGGTTCTGCTGCTGATGCCTGCTACACGCACTGCCCTTCTTGGTTCACACCCAGTAAACTACTACCGTATGATCACCTGAGAGCTGTAACTCCTGGGGCTTCCCTCAGGCCTCATCTCCAGAGAAGGCCACGCGACCTAAAGAGAGACTCCGTTTGCATAAATTCTGTTTGCAAAACACAAACACGAACAGAGATAGAACAGTTAGCTTTTTGATGTGAGCTAGGTAATCACCGAAACTGGTAATCCAAGCTCTTAAATGACAGTCTGTGGGTGAATGAGGTGTGTGTGTGTGTGTGTGTGTGTGTGTGTGTGTGTGTGTGCGCGCGCGCGCGCACGCGCATGTGAGTGAAGAGGGTTAGCGAGGGGGGAGGGGAGAACCAGAGGGACTAGGAAAGAAAGTGGATTATCCTGATTCGTTACCTACACTGAACACACAGAATTTGAAGATTTCCAAAGTCTCCACTGAATTCCGAACTGCTACTTTGACACCGCGCTCACGAGAGCCCGTAACAAAATGCGTTCATTTTATTGTGCTCCACTCCATTTCTGCTGCTAATCCTGAGTAAACATGGGAATAGATTGGTTAAGTTTCAAAATTCCTAAACCAAAAAGAAAATAAACAATACTGGAATGCAAGGTATGGAGAACTCACTCCATGACACAGAACACAACCTTCCCACGTGCCCATCTTAGGAGCTTCGGGACTGACCTGGGGGGTCCATTCATTGATTATTCATTTGACTGCCAAAGATGCCATTTTGTATAGGGTACTGAACAGTCCTCAAGGTAAAGACTTTCACTTTTCTCAAACTGGGACAGAAATAAACTTAGAAAATACAGAACTCCCAACTGCACAGGAAAGGTAGTGGAATTCTTGGTAGGCTCAGTGTGACAGTTATATTAGGAACCTCAAAGCTGACTCTGGCACTGATTCACTTTGGCCTCTGTGTCTCCCTACTCTTCCAAAATGGAGACAGAAACATCCGTGAAGAATTCCTTTACGAAGTATTGTGAAATAATCGTTCCTCAAAAACGATGTAC